AATAGGTTTAAGCTACAAACACATCAATTATGTCTTACCAGACAGTAAATGAAGAGAAACTTGAGGATGTCCAGAAGCATCCTTCCTAAGGAGATCTGCAGTGGCCCGAGGTGGGAGTTGGCGGTGAAGAGGGAGATGAGTCTGAGAGAGCTGAAGATGTTGGCAATGGCAAACAGAGCCTCGGCTATCAGCGTCGGGTGCCACATCTCCCACTCCTCCCTAGGCCGAGAGGAGTTATACTGAAAGAATAAAAGATAGGAAGGAGAGTGAGTCAGGAGGTGAGAGGAACAGCAGAGGAAAAGATTAATTATATATATATATATATATATATATATAAATAAAACATTTTTTTCCATAGTAGCTGGAAGAACATTAGATGGGAACAATGATGTAAGTTTTTTCTATCCATCATCTACAAAAGTTAGGGCACGGCAGGTTTAACCTCACTGAGCTGAATGCTTAAGAGGCTTTTCATTGGCCTCTACCCCACATCTCAACTAAGTTTTATCTAAAATGACTTTGTACTTTTGTGTGTGTATGTCTAATCTCACAAACATCACAGAAAATGTACCTCCGCCTCCACTCTCCTTTTGGCAGAGGAATAAGACCTTTAATGGTGTCCAGTCTCTGTGCTATATTATGCTAAATATCTCCAGACTGAGTCAACCTTGTGTAAAATTGTTATTATTATTATTTTTTCTGCAAAACTGGAGCACAAACGCAGGACAGAAGAGGCAGGTAAACTGAACAAAAGACAAATGATTTTCTTCTGCATCTTTTAAAGTAAGAAATTAAAAAGAGTAAAAACAACACAAGGGAGACGCAGGACTTTTTATACACACGGTGACCTGATAGGAAACTTTTCACAACTTCCAGGGAAGCAACTGAAGCGACAACCAATGACAGCACAGGATACCATCGATTGGCATAAGATGTGGTCGTAAGTAGCCTACATTACATGGTTACCTAGGCAACCAGAGCCTGTAATGTCTGCAAGCCTGACCTGCAGTCAGCTTCAAAGCGATACTCGACAAGCAGATCATTGCCAGTGTGGACGCAGATTAAAAAACATCAGGAGAGTGATCATGAAGCACAAAGCCTTCAGTGTTTCCCCACACACAGACCTGATATGATTTTCTTGTTTAATCTACCAAGAAAACATTCACATTCACAGCTGCTTCACTAGTGGAAAATCCACTTGCTCTTATTTTGAAAGTTAATTTGCTGCTAACTATTTATCACCATTATTCCTGAGATTTTTATTTTTTATTTTTGGGAGCTGATGATTGTTTTTGGCTGTTTTATGTTTAATTTTTGTTTGTTGTTTATATGGTGAATGGAGTTTTCAGCTTAAAAAAAAAAATTACTCATTTCCAGTTGGTCCTGCATATATTTAGTCCTTTGGATTTAGAAATGTAAAAACCTTGATTATTTTCTAACATTTCTTTTTCTACCCTTGTTAGTCAAGTCTGAGCTTTATTTGTATGTGCCACTGTATATGTTCAGTTATTGTTAGTTTTAGCTACTGGGGATGAACAGTAATTGTATTCCCCTCTGTCATTCTATCGTGTCACACTTCCTGTTTTATTTGGCTAACAGGTGTATTCCCTTGTTCCGTTTCCTGTGTTATCCTAGATTTTTGGACTAATCAGCATTAAACACTCATGTTAAGTTTGATGCCGGCCTTCTGTGGTTTACATCTATGTCCACAAAAAACTGCTCACGCATCCGACACACAACTCAGGTGCTGTTGTTGATATCCTTCAGCCTCTTCCTGAAAGAATAAAGGTTGGGACTGTTGCGGACTACGATCCTTTTTGTTTGGCTCTAACAAGTCTAACTAAAGCTGGACGAGAGGTCAGCGTCCTGTGATGCGGTGCTCTTCGATATTATTCAGCTGTCTCTCCAGTGAGCTTCACGTTCAGTCATTTCATACCCCAACTCCACTTTCTCACTAAGGCTGCACATTGGAAGAGTTGCTAACCTCACTGGTGTATTGCTTTGGACACTTTGTATACAAAGTCATTCTATCTGGGTTTAATGAAGAACACTTTTTATAAGGTTCTACCAAGTAAAATATATTTGCATCTCCACTTCACTTGCAGTGGTCTCTCTTCCACAGCATGTCTTTTGTCCCAACTGGTTGTGGCAGATGGTTGCCCCTCCTTGAAACTGGTTCTGCTGGAGGTTTCTTCCTGCAAAGGGAGATTTTCCCTTCCCACTGTTACCAAGCTCAGGGGGTCGACTATTGATTGTTGGTGTTTTCTCAGTATTATTGTAGGGTCCTTACCTTATAATATAAAGTGCCTTGAGGTGGCTGTTGTTGTGATTTGGCACTATATAAATAAAACTGTATCGAATTGAATCTCCTCACTCTTATTTTGAAATGTCAGTCACTGCCAACCAGCTAGCCTACAGCTATTCCCTGTCTCATGTTTCTCTACTGGTGGTTTGCTGGCCTGGGTTGATGATGTGCTGGTTCCAATGATTTGCTGCACTTTGGGCTTCAATTTCATGCTCTTGCCAAGTCCTCCAAAGCAGAACAAGGAGTGCAGTTGCTAACCACTCTTCAAGAAGCTGGAATTAGAGAGACTCACAGCACAGGCCTCCACTGTCTATTTGTTACAAAGCGGACTTGTTGTATTTACCAACGGCACATTTTCATGACGAAGTTTTTATCGATTTCTTCAGATTTTAGGTGCAACTCCTTTCACAAGAACACACTACTGCCACAAACAGAATCCAAATTTCTGATAAACACCCCGTCTTTCAGAAGACAGTCCCATGAATCATTTTGTGAAGACCACACGCATGTTATGCAGACAAAACAGACTAGAGTGACTCTGATATCACACAGCAGTGTAGGTATCCAAAATGTGGGAGCATTCCTTGAAAGATAAACACGCTTTAATCCCCAGGAGCTCCCTCAAGCTCTCAGCTGATCCTTTAAATCTCAACACAGTTCACAGTCGAGGTCCTGTGTTTCTCTTTTTGCTGTTCCTAAGTCCACATTTTCCTCTGCCCCCAGCTTTCCGCTCAATCCTTCTTCGTGCCACGTGCTTGCACATCTTCCCCGTCTCCTGCCATTTCTCTTCTACATTCACTGTTAATCCCTCTCTATCCTAAGCTCTCTTCAAGCCTTTATTCCCTAAAACCGTGATAAATAACCATTCATTACCCTCTTTCTCCCCCACCCCTCCATTCTCTGTTAGTGTTACCATTTCTTGCTTCACTCATTTCTGTGACTGCTTCCATCCCATTTGCACAAACCTTCTGCACATCTCTCCCTCTCTCCCGGTTGTCTCATGCTTGGCTTCCACCTCATTATAAATTCAGCCATTAGAGTTCCACAGGACTTGTGTCTCGTTAACTCTGCCTCGATTAGCATTCACCGTCCTCTCAAACACACACACACGTACATGAAAAACACGGGCCAACCAGAAACAGAAGCATGCACACAGTTGCACTCTCATTAATTTATGGACTCTCTCACACCATCTCTCAGATGTGCTTGCTCTGTGTGTCTGTGTGTGTGTGTGTGTGTGTGTCAAATCTTGTGACTCAGGAGGATTTTAAATGTTGATGAATATTTAAAGGAAAAATGAAAAAAAAAAAAAAGACAGAAAACTAAAATATAATGTGCCTGCAGCTGCTCTCTCTTTGTGTGGGCATTCATTGTGTATGACAGTGTGGATGTTTATCCTTGCATGAATGCAAGGTTACATGCAGATGCAATGTGCACAACTGTATGTGCGTGTGTGTGTGTGTAGGACCTGTGTAGGAGGGCCACCCGCCGCCATCAGTGACTCACAGCTGCTGCAGATGGCCCAGCCGTCTGGCATGTGTGTGTGTGTGTGTGTGATTACACTATTTGCTCTTAATAAAAGATAAATTGTATATGCATGCAGAGTGCGCAGCTAAACAAGGTATCATTAAAGCTAAAAGCTGAGCTGTGAAAGAAAATCACTGAGGCCATTAAAGTGAAACTGTGAAATATGTAATATGTGCGACCCTCGAAAATGAACAGCGACAAAGGCAGGATCATGTTTTTAGGTCAAAGGAGTTGCACTTCACAAAGGGCGTGGTTCAAATTCTTTTTATGGTGACGAATAAAAGAAAAGAAAAACAGTGGCTGGCTGGATGCTACGTTTTGTCTCAATTTGACATCCGTGTCTATATATTGGTAATACTGTATATACATCCATATCTATCTATCTA